AATAGTAAATTCTTGATTATGGTTACACAATTGCTTTGAACAAGAAAGCAATTTTTATTTCACTTACAATTCTTTTATTATATCATCTGTATAAGAGGATTATTATTGTACGAAACCTAATTCTCTGTATATAATACGCGCACGAAATGATTGCATCTGTATTACGATAAATATTTTATATACCAATTATCTTTAAGTAGTAAACATATAAATTGCGCTGCAATTTTCTAAGGTCCTCTCTCCTCTCTTCTTTACATTGCATTTGTATTCGTCCAATTACAGAAATAATTATAGAAAATGTAGAACGTTCTTTACATTACATTCATTTAACCAACAGAATATTCTGATCTTAACACTTATATTCACTTAAAAGAACATATGCTTGCAGCATATCTACATTAGTTATAAATGTACCATTAAACATAATAAAATGACGTTTTAATTTTGATAGATAGATTTAACTTTATTAAGTGTATTTGTATTTAATCTGCTATACTACTACTATAATATGCTGTCCCTCATTTTACACGGTTTCGAATTACCTATCCCTTGTTTTACACGAAACTTTATTTACATGTTTTTGCTTTTACAAAAACTAATGGATTTACAGGACCTTATCTACCGTGTAAAACGAGGAATAGGTGTACTTTATTTACACATAAATAAACAACTGTTGATCTAAGTCCGTATCCCTAAAATATATTTAATTTCTGAAATATTGAATAAATTTACTAATAATACTCAATACACTTTTGAAATACATGTATTTAAAAATGTTTTGTTTATTGAAGATTTTGAAGAAAAAGATCATTTCTTGTTAGAAAATACTCCGGGACATCCAAATCTTAACACATTGTTTCTTCCAATAACACAACTTCACTGATTCAACCATTTAATCAGTGGGTAGCATTAGGTAATTTAATTAAACTAATTTTAACGAAATATAGCCATCTACGTGGCTCAATCAATAGGTTTGAAAATGACGATGAAGAGTACACAAATTTATTGAATGTTGGAAGATTTAGAAAACCTTCTTATCAACGAAGACAAAATTAAAGAAGATCCTACCTGAATATATTAACAATCATTTATTGATCCTGATTTAGAGGTGTTTAATTTAATAACTCCATATTGGTTATAGTCAAATGAAATAGAAAAAAACACAAGAAATAAAGTTTAGATCTTATAATGTGATGTTTTGAGAAAGAACAAATTACTTTTTAATAGTTAATATTAACATTACACTATATTATTTTACCGTTTTCTGGATTAACGCTGATTCTATATAGCACGGTCTACATGTAGTCCTAAAGAAGCCTTACGTATTTACTATATGTTAATGTAACTTAGTTCAAAGTTGTTTCCGTTAAATGTTTGCTAAATTAATTATAACTATAAAAACATTATAAGATCATATCCCTAAATAAAAGCTACTGATGTAGTTTATCTTTGAATTTTGTAACCAGAAGTAAGCTCTGGATACAACAGATGATGTATTTTTTGAAGATTTCCATATATAACATGAAATGGATAGAATTCAGACAGGAACGGAAAGGGTATAAACGTGAAATTGGTTGGATTTATATGTATATATATCTGGATATTTGAGAGTGTGCGTTTCGGTCGATCAGATGGGTTTGCAGCAATCTGTGTCATCCAACTACTCTCAGGTCAGGCCAACGACTTGAATATCAAACTCCTATTAATTATTCAATGTGCGGCACTTAAATCACCAACGTGCATATTTTTTTTAAGCAACATACTCGCATTTTGGCACTCCTCGTGCTTCGTCACTTTCTTCTTTTTCATCTTTTCATCGTCTGCTCGAAATAGAGTTAAATTAAAATCAAATTGAATCGAATTAACCGAAACGAAATTAATTTATAGAGTATTTTTATTTTGTATCCTTCTGGACAACAGAACGGACAGAGATGAGAAACCAAACAGAAGCAGGTCCAAGAAATAGCTGGCTAGTACGTTTGAACCATCCACGCCTGCTGCTGGCACACTTGCATCTGTTCTTCCTCATCATCCAGAAATAGAATTTTGCAGTTTGTCCCGTAGTTGTTTAGTCAACCGTATTTGTCACGATAATAAAATTATACACCCTAGAGAGGAAAAATAACTGTTACTCATTTTATTTTATTATAATCTTGTAATTTATTTACACCATCAGAATAGAAAAAGTCATAAAACTAAATATATTGTCTAAATGTGGGTATTAAATCCAATCCAACTTATACCACTTAATCAATCTGTTAACTAATTTGGATCCATATATTTTGTATAAGATATTTATTTGCAAGTTATTAACTATAATACTGCTATATATATATTAGAAAATCGGTCGTTGTTGTTCATAAAATTTTACTTTACTTTACTTTTTTTCTAACTATTCATTGAATTTTCTGAATTCCAAAGTCTGCATTAATTTTATCTATTTGAGTACCCTATTCTGATACGTTAGAGTCTAAGGATATATTAACCACTAAATATGTCAAAAAAACTGTGTTTATTTCTTAAAAATAAAACGAATTTGTAGTTCCAAGATTGACTAAAATAATCAATAAACTTATTGGTTGCTAGGATGTTATTGAAGATCTAGGATCCCAAGATTAATAATTACTAGAAACTATACCTATTGTTAATTGAACTTTTTAATTTTATTTCATCATCTTTTGTTGGTGTTGGATTCCATCTGAAAGTGTATAGGAACTAATGCATTAATTCTGATTATGAAGTGATTATGGGGGATTATGTAAGTAAAAAGTTGTATAATATAAAATTGTATTTTCATTAATATGTGTGAAACCCCATTGTTATCATTGGACATACTAACAGAAAGGGAGTTTTAAAAAAATCTAAAATAATTTAAAATTTATAATGAAAATGATGAGATAACAACAATGAATTTAAGTCTGTTCAAATTATACAAATCCATATATCTGTAATATTTATTTATCTCGTTTCGAGAAAACATTCCGCTCGAAATATTCGGTGTTTGTGCTGCAGATTACGTTTCCTAATTTAATTAGTGTTTTAAACAAATGAGCGAATCACCGTGAAAAGTTTCCTTCAAGACACCTCGATTCAATGGTTGTTAAGTAAAGAGAAGAAGGTGAAATGAAAATAAAAACAAATCTTGTTAAAACAATTCTAATAGTATGGATTTTTGTTATTTTTGTATTACTGACAGTGATACTTGTCCGTATTAAATAATGAGAGCGATGCGTGCTACGGAAATTCATATTTATACAATGCTAATGGAACTTCCCTGTAAATATAAACATGTAATGGGTGTGTTATATGAACATTTATAACATTAGTTTATAAAAACGAGTCCAACGTACGCGTACAACGTTTACATATAGATTTGTGCAAATTAAAAAAAAATGCATTTTAATTGTGAACTGTCATTGTTAAATTGATAGATAGAATTATTATGTTTATTCATGTCTAGATATAAATTTAGCTCTGCAGCACTTATGGACGAACCATTATTCCTTAAGCAAATACAAGACATATTTTTTCTACCGAATTTCTATAGAATAGTTTATTATATTAATATTTTATTAATTGTAATTAATACTTATATTTCTATAAACAACTATTCAAATCAACGATTCTTTGTTCCTCTAAAAACGAAATAACTTAAATCAGATATGAATCTATGATGGTTGAATCTGCGAAATCAATTATGAATTGGCGCCTCGTTACACAAATCTGGCGACCTTCCTAAATTTCACCGTTGGCTGGTTTTCGGTGTTTGTTTTGTACGTAAACGAGGCAATGTTACAATTATAACTATGAACAAAATAAATGCCCTATGATAGCACCTGCTTTCTGTCGAAAATAAATTCCATACAACTCGATAATTTGCGTTTTAATTATTTATTCGTTTTTTAATGCACACGGTATATTAATACTAAAGTATTATGGTACGATGTAATTACGTTCGTACTCCAATTTGGAAATCAATAAAAATGCAATACATCAAGCTTTCACAAAGTAATTGATAAACACGGAAAGTGTTTCGTTTGAAATTGACAAATGTAATAATGATCGCGAAAATAATTGAGGAAATTAACTTTAAGAGGGCAACATTAAACTGATAAACTTGTTGTATCCATGCTATGTTTGTGTATTCAATACAATTAATCAAGCTTTAATTTCAGAAATTTATGCAAATACAATTATTAATCATTGCAATTGTAAATTTGGAACTTTCTTTATAAGGATATTTCATTGTGTGTTTGTATTTATTTAATTTCTCGATTAGTCCTGTTTCAAATAGTCCAGTATATTGATTAATTATGCGAGGTATTGCTGTATTAACAAATACAAAATATCACAAGAAGAAAATTCTACTGCATGTTAAAAGTAATCTATTTATTCATATGTAAATTTTGTCCATTATATTTAGTTTTTTTAACATGTTCTCATTTACTGTTAAACTTTTATAGGATGTTAATGTCTCATTTATTTTGCTAATGATCGTAGCAGTCGACGACTAAATAATAAAAGAAACCAAAATTAAACTTGCGTCGTGGCAATATCTAACAATTATATGTGATTATTTGTTTTTTGACGTTTGGGTCAAAAGTCTTTCTGCCTGAATTTTTTTAAATTTAAATTTTGTTTCTAGATAAATTAACATTAAAAGAAGTATTTTTTAACATTTAAAGTTCCATGTGGTATTAAATACATAAAATATAACAAGAGTTGTGTAATGTTTCGTTTTGTGTATTTGTAGTTATTTGAAAAATAAATATTGGAAGCTTCCAAAATCTTTGGAAATTTCCTCAGGTTAAGAAACTGTGGTATAATGGGATAGGAGCTAACTGTATTGACATAAATTTAACTGCAGTACAATTTCAATTAAAACTGACTGTATGTCAATATCTACCAAACTTTCCTAAATTACGTACTTAGTTGTAATTGGTACAAATTACTGATATAGTTTATATTATGATATCTTAATCTATTTATTTGTTTTTCAGACCGTACTGAGTTACGTAGCATCTAATGGTCCAGTAGATGTTCTGGAGCAGATCCTGCTATTGTCGGGGTTGGATCCGAACCGTCCGGACAATGAGGGAAACACACCGTTGCATTTTGCGGCTCAAGCAGGTGAGGGAAATGTCTCGTATCTTTTGTTGTGAAAGCCCTTTCGCACATAATCCACGATTAGATGATAAACGATGTCCACGCGGCGCTACATTGTGCGGTCGAATTTGATGGACGTGCAAAAGGGCTTCGCAACAACTGTGTAACATTTAGTTTATCCTAGTGGTGATGCATTTAGTCGGTTGTATATTGTTGGTTCGTTATTTAGGGCAAGTGGAGTGCTTGAATTGCATTCTGACACGGTGCAGGGGAATCGAGATCGACGCCAGGAACAATTTGGGATTTACTCCCCTGATGAAGGCCGCCCTTCAGGGCAGAAACAAGTGTGCCAAACTTCTACTATTCGCAGGTAAAGAGCCAGAATGATTATTCTTCTTCTTTCTTTCTTTTTTTTTTCACTCGCAATTTATGTACGGGCCTAAATATTTATACGACACACGGGCAACCGTCCAGCTACTACGAAAATACTTATATTTTTTTCTCTCTCGACCAATTGATCCCATGCCCCGAAAAACCATTTCGAAAAAATAATCGATATTCCATTCAATTTATACCCATGACCTAATTCAAAATATCTATTCGAACCATAACGCAATCCGAGAATAAAATCTTCGAACCTATTATTATATAAATTATTGTAACATTGATAGCTTTTGTGGATTTGCAAATAATCAATAAAATTATTACAATGTTGTTAATAGAATATAACAATAATTGCATTTAATAAAAAATAGTACTATAAGTACTTCTTAAAAGGCTATCATTTGGGCAATTCATGGCAAAGTTTCTTTTTAATGTGGCATTAATAGTTGTTGCTTTCTTAGATCAACATTCAATTTATTCAATTTATGTTAACTAATCAATATCTAATGGAAACATTACTTATATTTTCGATAATTCCAACGAAATCTACCACCAAAGAATTCAATAACAATGATCATTAATTTGATGACTTTTCTAGATGGTTAACATTGCCAAGCGTAAACATTCTGACCAATCGTAAAAAAAAAATCAGCAAGTAGTAATATCAATAAGAATAAACTAGAGGAAACTCAGAATTAAAGTAATGATCTTTAAAAAGTTGTTAATTAATTATAAGAAGATTATGTAATTGTTGAATTTGGTATCAAAAAATAGTTTCCTATGTTCGTATAAAACATCGAAGGTGACATCTAGTCACACATGGATACCCTAAGAGGTATCTTCCAGATAGTGGTTATAAGCAGTTAACAGTTGACACGTACTAATGTTATTAATTCCTGTTCATCTAGGATAAAAATATAAAACAATAATATTATATTATATTAAAGTATTGCACATTACTTCGCCTAGTACGGATAACCAATATTCAGGACTGCTTGAAACGGATTCATCGATTAATCGAAATAAGACTTGACGATAGTAGACTGACCTTATTAAGTGACTTCGAAACAATATTAAGTTACCTTCTCTTACGCATTTGAAAGATAATTTAATTACAATGAATAATTAATATCAAAAGTTAGCTACTGCTCCTTGTAGTGGTTTTGCGAAACGCAATTATCGACATATGACGAATATATTATTCGATTTATGCTGAATTTCAATGGAAAGTAAATTAATATCTCATTTCAGTTAAGCAATTAAGCAAACGTCTCTTATAATGTAGTACGATAGTGTGACAATAACTCGTTATATTTACAATATGAGGTTACTTATCTGCAACTTTATGTTAACCCTTTGATTAGTGAGTTATTTTTTAAAGAATTAAATACAAAAAATTATTTTTTTGTCGAAGTATGAAGTAAAATTTCCAACAAACAATTTCTATTTACATTTTAATATCAAATCTTGGTCAGATCTTAAGATTTCACCAATATTTTTGTATATTTACTTTATTAATTTTGGTCAGATTTAAACAAATATGCACGTATGTTTAAATTTATAAATTTAAAAGATTTTTATTGATTAATTGGAATTTGCAAGATTTCTTGATGAACATTTTAACCCAATTATTGGGGAACACGATAATCCAAATAGCGTTTAATTTATAGTTTAAGCTAACATTGGAATTGGCGCTTGATTTGTGTAAAGTTTGGTTTATGCACGTGAACTTCATGCTGTCCAGCTCACTTCATCTGGTCCATTTCCCCATCTATTCCTCTCTCTTCATCTACATCGTTCCGTGTTTGATTAATTGCACTATTTCGAAAACATATGTAAATATTTACGGTTTAATTTCGATTGCTTTACCGTGACGTGCATGAACGTCACTAACATTTATTTTCCGTGAATCATTCATCAAGTGGACTCAAAATACTCCCCCAGACGATCATTTTATATTTACCAAATTGCAACGCAATTATATTAACAATAACAGTAATTAACATGAAAGATACTTTATTTATCTCATAAAAATCAATTTAACTTATACATGAAGGTATTGATTTTATACATAAGAATGTAACCGGTTTCTCTTATTAGAATATATGCATTTAGTTTTACCTACTTTAAATTCATATCAGAGTTCGGTAAGACTATATGTATACTATTACGTATCGCCATGGTAATTAGGTCATGGGCTAAACAATCCTTGAATGTTTGCTTTTCGAAAGGCCCGGTGTAAAAAATAGGATGTTGGCGGTTTGCTTACATGTCGTTGAATTTTCTCGGTGGATCACACTCGGAATTGTAAATCCTGTCGGCATTAATTCGGAATTGTGCGCGTGCCGGAAGGGTTGTTAATTTTGGAGCATCGATGGTAATACTGGCACATGTGTATTTGTTCTTCTGGTACTTTTAGGATCGAATCCCACGTTGAGGGACAATGGACGGGGATTGCGTGCAGATCAATGGGCTCGTTTTTGCGGTAGATACGTGTGTGCAGATGTCATAGAGAAGCATGCCAGGCAGCGGCTCCTGGAAAGGTCCACTTCCTACGGGAACTGGGGCGGAGAGAACGACGTCGGTGCACGGATGATCATGGGGAAAGTCGTCCCGGTACCCCAAATCGCATCCACTCAACAATCGAATGGTACAGTATACGATTACTTTTAAACATATTACAAACATAGACAATACACACATACAAATACCCACCTGCACATTTTCAAAATTATATTGTGAATCATGTATATAGTTGTATATATTGAATAATCTTATGATGACGTATTTTCAGACTTATTCTAAGTAGATTTCTCTAAAATATCCTTTGTCCAAATTAGTTTTTTTAGTTCCACTTTCGATTAGTTTTCTCTTTATCGTAAGTTATAGTAGCTGTGCTTAGATTTCTACTTAATACTTGATCTTTGAGTATTAAGTAGAAATCTAAACAACAAAATATGCACTCTGTTAAGAGTAACTGATAAAAAAATATGGATGCGCCGGGTTCACTATGCCTAACAAATTTTGTATGGAACAATCACCTTTTCAATTTAGTGTTATTTTTGCATATTCATCTACAATACAACCTACCCAGTTATGAATTGTCATTTTCTTGAAATTAAAATATAAAAACTATTATGTAAATCAAATGATAAAATTATTATCACATTTGATGAGCACAGCTATTATGATTATCTGTGTTATTGTCGTTTTCTTTTATCATTACTAATATGAATATTTCAAATCCTTTTAATGCATTTTTCTTCTTTATTTCTTGAATTTAGAATCTACAAATAGGTTTCACACAACATAATGTGTATATATTCTTGATTGAAAATAGTCCCTTGACATACTTAATATTGGTCAATAAATTGTAAACTCTGTTCAAATACTCCCATTTATTCCAATACTAAAAATTAATTCACATCGCATTGAATTAAATATTATGGCTGCAGCACGTTTACTATTTTGTACTTTATATTAAAAATGAACAAATTGAGAAAGACTCAACTTGAAACACTAAAGTAATTGAAAGCGAAAAATATACTAATTTTCAATTGAATATTACGTTTATAATAATAATTTAATATTAATGTTTTATGTCAATTATTACCAATTGATCAATATTAACAAAATTCAGAAAAGTACAGTGGTAACTTGGATTGCAAGTGTTTTGTAAGACGAGAATTACGCTTTGCCTTCCAAGTCTCACATGATCTCAAGTCGTTCGGCATTATTATTCTTATATAGTCTCATTAAATTTCAATAAGTAACAAAGTTTAAAAATATTATGACTAGTAGTTTATTTTGAAATGTGGTGTATATTTTTTGTTTCATCCGCAGTTCCTTAATATACAAAGGATTGACCTTGAAACAGTGAAGTAAATAAAAACTGATAATGTAAATATTTTGACACAACAGAACGACAAATAAGCTCCTTTTTCTTATAGACCTCAATGGTACTACATAATCTGAATATAGCTATTCTATGTTTTGCAGGTTTAAAATCAAAGCTGCGGAAGGTCTTTAGAACGTCTTCAGGTCCTGGCCACAACAATGATAACATATCCAGTGCACGCCTGGTCACCCAGCTTACATCAGCCGCGTTGTGCGCAAGCACCCCTGTATTGCCCACAGCTCCGACTGTCCCGCCAGTTGTCAAATCTTTGATCAGACCATTGACTGTACCACGCTTACAAATAACACTCGTCAGCAACGGTGAAGGAACAAATCTTACCAATGGCCACTCCAAATCCCAGACGAATGTGAACGAAACCGACAAGCCGCCGGTCATCAAACCAGCAAGGACCAAGAAAAAGAAATAACAATTGAACGCATACGCCGTTGGTGAGGTAGATGCGGATGCTAAGGAAGAGGAGAGCGCTGTTAACGCGGAGATATTATAGACTGGAATTTTATTTAACAATAATGAGAATGACACCAGTATTCAGATTAGTTAAGAAAGGAATTAGATACATTCGTCATTTCATCGTATATTATATCTATAGTAATAGCAATGTAACCAAAAAGTTAAAAAAAAAACATATTTTATAGTCAAATTCAGATTATCCATATCTCGTCGTCGTTGTCATATATTGTCGAATAGCGAGGAAATTGAGCTACATCTTTTTCCTCAATTTCTTTTGTAACATATATATTTATATATATATTTACATACACTAAGTGTATATTTTAACTATAGTCAAATGGCGGAACTTTTTTATAATTTGCTTAAATTGATGAAAATTAATTTCAATAGTATCATTACAATAAACATGTGTCAAACACATGTTTTCATCAAATTGAGCATTCTATAACCAATATTTGGCTATATAATACACAGTGTATATTGATTTTCGTATTGTAATTTCTTAAAACTCAACATATTTATATATAATTATAATATATAAAAAAAATTAAAAAAGAACAAAAAATAAATGTACTAATATATCTATGTATAAAAAAGGAACTACCATATAGATTCTTGTCTTATAAGGGAACATCTTTGAGCTTATTTGAAAGAGAATTAACTTTTGAGATATATCTTAAGTAAATAATATTTATTATTATTAAGAATTAAAAAAAAAACAAGAAGAGGAAAGAAGCAAAAGTAAGAAACATTACATAAATAAATATACAAATCGATGTTTTATAAATATTAAGCGAATTGATATTTGGTAAAAAATAAAAATTGTTTGTCTAGTCAGATAACGTCATTATTTTGTAACACAGTCTCTTGTATCATTGATAAGTCGAGATTCCCTTAAGATCTCGCTAATATGTGTGCATTATGACTAAAAAAAATATAAATCGTCCGGATTAATCGTCCACGGACTTTTTGTTCTTCCTTTTTCTCTTGCTTTTGATGTTCGAAAGGATCTCATACGCTTGCTGAATCTCCATGAACCTCTCCTGAGCCGCCCGCTGCAGATTGGGATCTTTCACTTTATCCGGATGGAATTCTCTGCTGAGCTTTCTCCATTGCGAGGTAATCTCCGACTGAGAAGCTGTCGGACTCACTTCAAGCACTTTGTAGGAGTTCTGCTCTCCCTGGACGTCCGATAGATCTATTATTTGTTTCCAAATCTCATACCTGTAAACGAACAGAATAAAATGAATTGAATCATTCTCAGCCGATCAATAATATTCTTACCATCCATGGTGCTGGGCGTACACGTAGGTATCATAAAGAGATTGCTTCAAATCGGTCCACCAAGGAGAGTTGTAGAAGTGGTTCAACGCCTCGTGAATTGGGACTTCGTCTCCGTTCGAATCAGTGATGGTTCCATTAAAGTAAAAGTAAGCGCCCCAAAGAGACAGATAAAGAACTCCGCACAGAGTAACTGTAGACACTCGCCTAAAAAAAATCAAAAGTTTATCTTGATGATTCATTACTCTCTTAACTTATACTATATACCTAATTAATGTGCGTTTTTCTTTGGGCCTCCTAAGCCAATCTTTACTGAAACTATCGAATGCCAGTGCAGAACAGAACACCATTATTGTGAGCCATACACTTTCATCGAAGATGTACCATCGCAATAGGTAGGTGAGATAGGCCACTCCAATTGCCGCCCATGGATCCCCCTTCTCGCGTCCTATGTTTCCAACGATCCAGACTCCTAGAGGATTTCAATTTTACGTACATTTCTGTCTAACATTGATCATTACTCTTACTTACCTAAACCCACGGCTAATGGGACGACCCAGTGTACAAATGACCAATTAATTCCGGCAAAGTCGTTTTGCGGAATCGCTATCAAGATTAGTTGGCCCCATAAGTAACCAACCATAATTGCTGAGGTGAACCGGCTCGTCGAAAATGGTGGCTAAAACAAACAATATATTGTTATCTTCTGAAACATTATTCGCATAATTTGGTTAACATGAAGCGAGAGATTATATTACAGTAAAACCTCGTTTTGCGTTTAGAATGTGTTGCTAGACGACAAACTAAACTGTGTGGCCTGTATCACGAAAATATGTGGGGGCCGATAAACCCGAAAACGGGTAGAAAAAGGGCCAAAGAGAAAAAAAGACAAACTAGACAAAACAGCGTTAAACGAAGTTCCATATAGTAAATAGGTAGATTTAGAGCTTTTTAGGCTTCAAATAGGCAGCATTATGTCAAATCAGTGTTAATCGAGGAAGCGCTAAACGAGGTCTTACTGTATATATGCTACATGTCCTCTGACCAATAACACTAACATAACACTATAATTATTTATATTTAATAGTACATACTTTTACTAATAATTATTGTACATACAATACTTAGAACTGAATGTTTGTTGTGTTAATGACAAAATGTATTCTTGCAAATAAATAAAATCTTATAAATTCCTACATAAATCTATAAAAATAGCCATATTATTGAATACAAGAAATAACAATTTAAATCTGAAACAAGTTATCAACTGTACAACTAAAAAAATGTGTGTTAATAAAACTTTGGAATCGGAAACGTTGATCATTTATATTCAAGATCTGTAGTGGCCGAAAACATTTACCAAAATCGAAAACATGTAGTAGACTCTGGCAACATACAAGACCTACTTAAAACATAATTATCATGTCATTTTAAATATTCTATCAAAATGTATTTTACTATTTGGAATTGTACAACCCAAATATATAATATTTAAATATTACATTTTAACTAATAGAAATAAAATAGTACACAAAATTATTCTTATATATTAATGTTTTAAAGTCCTGGATTAGTCCTGAATATTTATGGAATTGATTACGGGCACTATGCGAGTTATTGCTTTACTAATAAACTTATTTATTAAATCTAGCTATGGTTCATAAAATAATTAATAATTGGTCAATTATCCTTTGTAGCATGTATACAATAAATTATTTATTTCATATTTAGAATAACTAACTTTCGATTTACAATCTTAAGAAAATATTGTACAATGCAAACACTATTTATATATTTAATTCTAATTTAATACAATTTACTATTAATTTATGATTTTTTATGTTAATATATAAAATATTATGCGAATTCTTAATGTTATGTTTACTTTAATAAACAAAATATTGTTGGTCACATTAGTTTGGACAAAATTAACCAAATCTTTGTTTTTTTTTTATTAAAAATTAAATAAACTCAATTATATTGGAAAGCAAATGAAAAGTATAAAATGTTACTATATATTATGTTAGATTTGGCTCATGCAAAACAAATTATTTGAAGATTTCAGTTGAAAGATATACGAATATTCACTGATCTTAGGTAGTAACACTGATGATACTCGACTAGAATCTACAGTTAAAATGAATGAAACCACTAAATCTATCATCAATACCTATATTAAACTTCATTATTACGTAATTAAAGGAAATTGTCATCAATCGCTTTACTTTCCTAAATTTGCCAATGATGAGCTATAAACTATGTAGGTTATATCTGCTATTTGAAATGTTTACAATTTGCGTGGAAAGTATGGCCCATGTAGCGAATATAATAAATAAAGTTGTTTTTACTTTGAGAATGTTACTAAAAAAATATTCCTATCTTTCTGAAATGGCCATACCTCGTCGGTTTCTGATTATTTTGTTTTGTTCGATATTTTATATTTTCATTGGTTCTTATAGATGCACGGAAAATTTCCACTGTTTACTGTGCACTCACGTAAATGCAATTTATCTTTTGTAATTTGAGAAACACAAGTTTTTTTGTTCTTTCTGAGCAGAGCGGCAATTTCCAATAATGTTAGGATAATGAAATAATACAATTCAAGTTATTATAAAAATTCCATTTTGTTGCAAAATTTGACAAATAATTGTATTTCATCAAATATGTTATGCAAGTAGGAAATTTTCCAGCTTGCATTATGCAATACAAAAAATTACATTAATATTAACATTATAACATTTTTGCTTAGTTCATGCAAAAGTTATGTTTCTTAAAATTACCTTTCGTTAGGTAATATATAAGAAGCTGGTAACTATAACTATATCAGTGTAAGTGATGCTTAAATTGGCACTCACTCAACTTAATTTAAGAATGTGTGATAATTGCATTGTATATGCATTAATATTTTTTAATTTTTTAATGAAAATTTAAATGAAGTTCAAAGTTGCATCGATTTGTAAAACTATGAGCAAAACAAAAATGCGATATATTTTTTACTTTTCATTTACTGCCAATCAAGTCGCCTATTTTAATGACTTTATAAGTTGTTTGCAATTGATAAAACTCCACGTAGATAGTTATTTTTAAATTTAATTTGATAAAGTTTTTGAATATTTATAAATTTTGTATTGAAATCGCAAGTAGGCAAACTTTAATTGCCGCAACCTTGACTGAAACAACTCTGTTTCGCTGATGTGGTAATTTCCTACGAATATTTATATTTACCTTTCTGTTTCTCTTGAGTTTTTCGATAAATTCCTCTATGAATTCCTTGTCTTCGTTGCAATCCCTGACATACTTGGGAATTTTGGTGATGTCGGCCAGCCATCCTATACCATACCCTCCGAAGGTGCTCCAGGTGAGAAAAGCGTGGGCGTCTCTCTCCAAGTAGAACAAATGCAGTCCGAAGATGCCGCCGAAGAGCCAACACACATAGGCGATCAGGACACTTTTCTTCTTCTCCTTACCCGGCACAGTCATGTTGAGTCCACGTCTTTCTGCTTCGGTTATCCTTGTGTTTTGTGTATTTCAAATATCGGCTTATCTACCTGTATTCGCTGATAACAGTCTCGTCACATGAATTATGTACACAAGTACGTGGTTACCATGAACCTCACCGCATCGTCTTCACACAAAAAAACCGATTTACATGCGGTGGAAAAATATTGTTTAATTAATTAATAGGAGGCAGCGGGTTCAATGACTCTCTCTTCGTCTTTCTATTCGCGTTGTGCGATCGCTTCGTTAGACCACAGCCAAAGAACAACTAAGAACCGTTGATTCGGAGCGACCAAGAGGTAGGCAGCAGGTAGTCCACGTTGTTGAATACCGTTGGTCGCCGAAGGAAAAGGAATCACTCGGGTTACGGTACTTTCTGACTTATTATTTTCATTTGGCCCGGTTTCCTATTTACACCCAGCCCACCTGAATACCTGTCGACACGCATTACATATTTCCCAACAGAAATCGCATTTGCCGGTGCCGCAAATCTAACACAATCAATTAATAGCCCAATAAAAGTTTTGCACGCGGAAAGCGAAAGTTTTAACTATCACAATCCAATTTCACGCCTTGCCTTCATTGTTCCCTGGAACAAACACATTCTTAGAATCAGAACCTAAGAACCAAATATACAAAAATTGCTTTCTAATATCTGTAAAGATTTATTGCAACTTGTAAAGGTGCAACAAAGTCTTGTAAAACTATTAGTACTATACCAATTGAATAAATACTGAAAGTAAATAAAAACTTTTCAAAATCTGACATTAATACAGTAACTAAGAAAAACCAACTGCATTTCTAGATTCAAATAAATATATTTTTTAATGCCAAGAAACACATTTTTTAACAGACATATTAAGGACATTAACTTATATCTTATACAACATGAAGTTATATTTTTCAAATGTATTTGAGCTTTCAATAATAATTCTTGATTGAATCATCATATTTCTGAAAATTAATTTATGAATCTTTTATAGTAAATATTTTTATTTATAAACAAAAATTCGTTAAATTTATAATAATTGTAAATAGTAAAGCAATAAAATTTAAAACAAAGTATCGATCATTTTTCATAATTTTATATAACTATACATTTATGATCCATTTTTGTTTTGATCATAACAATGCTTATAGACAATTACTGTACCACCTGTGGTATATTGGTTGCATAGACATTGTACTTCTTGGTTTAACATTATTGACGATGTCGCTGTTGTCGGCTGTCAGTTAAGCCCTGTATGTGGTCTTGATTTTATTTTGTTTTGTGTTTTAAATGGATAATTAGGGATGTGTTAATCACTGGGGCAGTGTTTAATTGGACGAGACCATGGCCCAGAGTACAACAAGCGGCACGTCCTCGAGGCGCCAAGGACGGGACCAGGATACAGCATCATTAGCCTCTTCTAGATTTGCAGACACTGAGTGGGAAGCTAATGAGGTAAACAGACATGCACGCATACAGGATCTTTACATAACGTGAAATGCTTATTAATTATTAATATAGGCATGGAGGCAGAGGGAACTGGAGGAGGCCAGGGCGAGGGCTGCACAGATGGAGAAGACAATGAGATGGTGGTCAGATTGCACAGCCAATTGGAGGGAGAAGTGGAGTAAAGTTAGAAATGAACGAAACAAGGCTAGGGAAGAAATGAAACAACTCAGAACAAAATTGGATATGGCTCTGAAAGACACAAACTTGTATAAAAGAGAGAAGCAGGAAATGGAATTGCAAAATGATCAGCTTAAGAAGGAGATGGAGAAAATACATATATTATTGCTAAAGCATGCAGGACAATTTGATGCACAAATATTTGAAGCACTAGGTGATGATCCCTTGAAGGATTTCTCTTTTAGCACAAACAACACATCACCAGTCAAGGAGAATGGTATAGAATCCTCTCAAGAATGTGATAGCACTGCAGCCCCATTGGAAAAGGAGAAGACTGCTGAAGAATACATCTTAAAAGGTGCAGTGCCAAAGCAGAAAGAACCTGAAGAGAATGGGCTTGACTCAAAATGTGATAAAAATCATAAAGATTCTGATTATGATGAAGAATATGTTATGCAGAAACTTTCAATGATTCAATTGAGGTTGGATGAAACCAACAAAACTCTGCAAGTCGAAAGAGAGTGAGTTAATTTCTATTTGTTATTTAACATTTGAACTGATTAATCAACAAATTGGTTTTAGGGAAAAATCACAATTACATAGAACCATTGAAAAATTGACAAGTGATTTGCATGAGATGAAAGAGAAATGCGAGGAATTACGAGAGGCACGGCAGGAAGTCGTCAGAGAAATGTTGACTTTGCAAGATCAACATCAGGAGGAAGTTAGAATTGTTAGATCTGATTTGCAGGATGAAGCAAATAACCGTGAAGGAATGGATAGGAGAATCAATGATCTAAGAGCTGAAGTAAGAATGGAAATATCAAATTTTAATAGTTATTATTTATTAAATATTCTAGTTGGAGCGATTGCAAGCAGAAAATGCGGCTGAATGGGGAAAACGCGAGAGATTGGAAACAGAAAAATTGAGTTTAGAACGAGATAATAAAAAACTGAGGACGGAACTTAGGGATATGCAAGAAAGGATTGAGAGGAAAGGCAGGCCCTTGACAAACTCTGATGCAGAGTTGAGGCATTTGCAACAGGAATTAGTTGATAAAAATAAGGTGAAACTTTGAAAGTTAATGATATTTGTGAAACGTTTTATTTATATATATTTTAAAGGAAATATCTGAGCTGAAGCATTCCCAGAGTAAATTGAAGAAATTGGTTCAGGATAAGATAACGGAACTCGCGCATGCAGTGCGTAGAGCCGAACAGTACGAAACTGAAGTAAAGAAATTAAGGAGCAGAGTGGAGGAATTGAAGAGAGATCTTGCCATTGCAGAAGATGAAATCGATTCAGCTTCTAATAATATAAGGAAACTGCAGAGAACCAACGACGAACTGCAAGAACAAGTCGACAATTTCCAAGTACAATTGCAGCATTTAAATACAAGGTACACTTCAATTATATTAACTTCTTATTCTATTCTTCCCCAATGTTGTTAATAATTTCTGTTTGGGATTTCGGGCTTTTTTTCTACTAACAAATGTCTTCCCACCTTGGTTATTATTTTGTAGCGACGAACACGAGGATGGCGGAGAAGAGATGGCCATCCTAGATGAGACGGATTGTGTAAGTTTCTCTTTATTATTTGACTCGAATCCACCTATTGCTTAGGCAACTAATCGTAAGCTTGAAACATTTTGTTTCCTAATTCTTTTTATTTAGGGAACATTCATTTTTTTCTTTTCTATAACAATGCATAACTGTGATCCTCGCCGCTTTACAAACTATCGAAATCCAAACTGTTCTTAAAATCTACGTTTTTTTTTTTATTATTGTTTTTTTTATATATATTTTTCACGCGGTATGAAAGAAAATTGTGTTATTTAGTAGAATGTAAATCGGTACAATATGATGATCATGTTTTGTGCGTTGCGTAAGTGTGTTCTATTAATTTGAAAGCAAGTTAATTCTATTGAAATTTGTTTTGTTTATTTTAATTTTCGATCCGTTTCAGGCTTCGTAATTCGAGCACATCTAGTTTGTTGTCCCATAGAGGAGCTTTGATCGCTGACGAGATGAGCGACGAGGAAATTACTAATGTATATTAAATCTATTAATCGAATAGGCTCTTGATACACGTAAACTCAATGCTCATCAAACAAATTTCAATATTTTCTTAACTTTCTCCGAATTAGGGAATCGTTTAACCAATGTGTTCTGTGTATATATTGTTTTTCATAAACAACTAGGTTTTTGACAGAATAAGAGCAAAAGCTTAGAACACAACTATTTATTTAGTAAGTCTTTTTAATGAAGAAGCAAACTGTAATTATTTACATATTTATTTAATATTTGTATATTATTATTATTTGAAATTTCTATGATAGGTTTAAGTAGATAACTATTTTTTAATACATTATTCTCTGTTTTCTATCTATTTTTATTTATAAAGATGTCGCATAATTGTCGGCATTTTTAATTTAACGACTGATTGTAAAAGTAGACTGAACAAGCTGTCCTATGAATTCTTTTGGAAACTGCATGTGAAGGTTAACTTAAGACGCACTAACGATTTTAATTATATATGCATGGAAAATTACGTAATAAGCACATAAGTTCCATATGAAACAATAGTTCAAGGAACAAAAAAAGAAATAATAATGCACTTCTAGTGCCTTAACACTAATCACTAATCATTTAATTATAATACATAAAGTATATAAAATTATATTATATGAATATATAATAATACACAGGATTATATATATACCAGTTGAATCACTTATGGGAAAAGTCTAGTTTTGTAGTATAAACTCAGGGTTCTTAAGTTTCCTGTGCCAATAATAAACTATTTAGTATTAAACAATGCGTTTCATTCTCTACAAATAAAATTTATTTTCTGATTTTTTTTTGCTGTATTGATTGCTGATTTGTTAATAGCATTATTTTTTTTATTAAAAATGACTAACAACTAATAATAATGATAATAGATGGTTTCTAGGCTTTATTATCTAGCATATCATTGGTGATCCATCGGGATTTAGTTTGGGTTTGGGCATGCAGATTTTTTTACCATTTTCGTAGAAACAAGAGTTTGTGAAGTATCCGCAGCTGGATGATTGCGTGTAATATACCGATGGAGTTTTCTTTCCGGTGATTACATTTTTCGAACCAGTTTCGGATTTGGTTAAGGACACAAAACCCGGTTGTGGATTACCGTGATAAATTGGATAAGTAGTCGGTTGGATGGAGTAACCGGAACCATAACCAACGCGACCGTCTTTCAAGTTTGTTCTTGCTCCAACAGCATATACGGGCTTCTGGTATATTATTTTAGAAGGCGATATTACTGTGTGCGAATTGGATACTCTGCCTCTGAAACCAGGTGGAATTTTGAAACCGCCGACGTCCACGCCACTTCCTAAAATGGTTCCGTCTCTCAAAGATAAACGACCGTTTGTAGGACTTTGCAGATCCTCCACGGGATCCAAAGAATCGTGTCTCTGAGTATCTGTCGATTCTTGAGTATTCGATGTTGTACTAGACTCTTCGCTGTTTAAATCGTAATCATAATCTTCATTTGAAGCTATTGTTGATGTGGTAGTAGTGGTGGTTGTGGTAGTTGATGGAAGGGCAGTCATTACTCTCTGTACTTTACTTGCACTTGTTTTCTCGTCTACTGGATTCTGTCCAGATACACCAGGTCGTTGTACAGAACCTTGTTGTTGAGTACTACCAGGATATTGTCCAAATCCCTGTTGTGTCATTGCGTCATTTTTATTTACAGCTGGAGTATTAAATGAGTACATTGGCTTTAGAGTCGGCATTGTATTACCGTAGGTTTTGCCAACATTTGCTGAAGAAGCCTGTGCTCCACCGTTGTACCTGATGCCAAATTTATGTGTTCCTTGAATTTGTACTTGACTTTGGCCCGAATATGTTCCACTTTGCGAGCTCGCACTACCGCCACCATTAAATGGCGTACTTTGATCGTCAGGTTTATTTTCGTCATAAGGAAGAAAACCTATTTGCGCTTGCGATGATGTACTGCCAGGACCATTTGCTTGAGCATCGGCCATACCGCCTTTGTCCCCGGCTTGTACTTGTGAATTGGAACCATGGTTGATACCACCGCTTTGTGCACTAGACATAGTTTCTCCTGTTTCCGATGATAACTGCACCTGAGCCTGCGATTGTCCTTTGCCGCCGTTTCCTTGTGCGGAACTTACTGCCCCCTCTTTACCTCCTGATACCTGAGTTTGTGCTCCACGCTTGCCATCATTAGATCCGGCCGAAGCGCTGAAAGATCCAGTACCAGCATAAGTTCCAGAAACCTGGGATTGAGCTGAACCTCCTTCGAAATGCCCTTGCGCGTTAGCACTTGCCTGCGTTCCGTTACTGACTTGTTGAATAGAAGTTTCTGCTTGTGAATTCGCATCATCGGGTTGTTGTTGTTCGTCTGTGATTAAATTTGCGGGTACATTTTGGCCAGAGTATCCTACACCTTGCCCAGAATCTCCACGGCTTCTTCCGTAATCCCATTGCTCACCGACAGCCCCCCCAGTTTGACCAGGATAGTGTTGACCTGCTGGATAAATACCTCCAGCAGGTATTTGTTGACCGGAAGAGTATGTTGGTTGTGTTTGATCTGTATATTGTTTTGCAGGTATATACGAACCTGATGATCCACCTTGTATTCCACTTGTAGGTATTACTTGTCCTGCGTATTGGTTTGTCTGTCCACCTCCCGGAAAGTATGATGGTGCACCTTGTCCACCTTGGCTTGTATATTGGGTTGTTTGTCCACCTCCAGGTAAGTATGTACCTGATGGTGCACCTTGGTCTGCATAATGGGTTTGTCCACCTCCCTGTAAGTATGGGCCTGATGGTGCAACTTGTCCGTCTTGGCCTGCATATTGGCTTATTTGCCCCCCTCCTGGTAAGTATGAGCCTGATGGTCCAACTTGTCCTCTACTTGGCACTGTTTGACCTACAGGCTGGCCTGTTGATGGTACAATTCCTTCATTTATATAATGACCTCCAGTAGATGCTGGATCATAACTAGAAGGTGCTTGACTGCCAGGCACATAACCAGATAGAGCTTGGTCTGGCTGATAAGGTCCACCTTGAGGTCCAGGTCCATATAATTGTGATACTCCTGGAGGAAGTGAACCTGCTGTTGTTCCTGGGATGTATAATTGTCTTCCTGGTCCCCCGTGCTGTATAGTTTGAGCGGAACCCGGAATGAACGTTTGCCCATTTGATGGTAAATATTGTTGTGTTCCTCCCGCTGGACCTGCAGGTTGTCTAATTTGACCAGGAACATTGAAATCTTGTGTTCCTGGTACGTAGGTTTGAGTTGAAGTTCCACCAGGAACAATGGGTTGTCCAGTTGCTCTACCAGGTACAAAAGTTCCGGTCGTGGGCAGTTGTGTATAAATTGGACTTGTAGGATATGTTTGCGTTGAAATTTGTGCTGGAGCTCCAGCACCGAATTGCGAACCTGATTGTCCATCGCCATGGCTATTATACTTTCCGGAAAAGGTACCTGAGAATTGACCTGCATTACCTCGATTGGATTGGTAATTTCCTGATAATTGGCCATCAAACACTCCAGAATGCTTTCCTAGGTGTCCTTGCTGTGGATATGATTCTTGTGTTCGCCCATCAGTATGATAAATAGATTGACCTTGCGGATATTGAGAAGTGTATGTCTGTTGACCACCAGCAATAGGCTGTTTTCCGCCAGGAATTCCATGAACTGATTGTTGAATGGGAGCTGTATATTGACCATCTCTGGGAACAGAAGGAATTCCTGTTTGTTGAACACCTCCGGAATATTGGCCAGTAGGTTGTTGGATTCCTGAATATTGACCAGTTTTGTCAGGATAATGTGCCGAAGGTCTACCGGGAATTTGATGAGGATATTGTGCAACATTGGATATGCCTCCAGGATACTGTCCAGATACACCAGGTCGTTGTTCAGAACCTTGTTGTTGAGTTCTACCAGGATATTGTCCAGATCCCTGTTGTGTTCCACCGTGTATGCCTTGTTGAAGTGCACCAGGATATTCTGTGGAACCTTGCTGTCCACCTGAATATTGAGTTGGACCCTGTCCACCAGGATATTGTATTAAACCTTGCCCGCCAGGATATTGTCCTGCACCTTGTTGTCCACCTGGATATTGTCCTGTACCCTGTTGTTGTGTTCCACTAGGATATTGCGGTGAACCCTGTTGTCCACCTGGATATTGTCCTGTACCCTGTTGTTGTGTTCCACCAGGGTATTGCGGTGAACCCTGTTGTCTACCAGGATATTTTGTTGAACCCTGTTGTTGCGCTCCACCAGGATATTGTGTTGAACCCTGTTGGGTTCTGCCAGGATATTGTCCGGGTCCCTGTTGTTGCATTCCACCAGGATATTGTGCTAAACCTTGCTGTTGCGATCCTCCACCGTATTGTCCAGATGGTTGTGACCCGCCTGGATATTGTGCTATTGGAATTTGTTGTGCGGATCCAGTCCCAGGTTGCTGTTGATTCATTGGTATTTGCGAAGGTATGTATGTCTGTGTGCCACCTCCATATTTTCCAGTATCAGGCTGACTACCTGGTTTAGGACCACTTGGATATTGTCCGCCTGGATATTGCCCGGAAATTCCTCCAGACCCGGTAGTATATTGACTACCGCTACTTCCGGGTCCAGTCGGTTTATAAACAAGGTTTCCACCGTGGCGTGGAGTATCACTTGTATAGACGCCTTGAGTCAATTGACCCGGATATTGGCCTGTGACTTGGCCCAATTGTTTTCCAGGTAAAAGTGGACCAGGAGCTATACTTTGCTGCTGTCTTCCACCAGTTACAAAATTATCCTGTCCGTAACAATCAGCGCAACTGAATGGACTACTTTGGCTTTGAGCTTGTCCCATACCTTGCTTTCCAGCTTTAATGAAAATAAAGATAATTATTGTTTAATGCCATAACAGAAGAAGCTTTGAACTTACTGACGAAGGCCTTTGATCCTTCGGCTGTTGATTCCGCCTCGGCCTTTCCATCTGATTCACCATTTCCGAAATTCAAATATTGACTCTGAGTTTGTCCACGAACTCTACCACGGTAGTAATTTGCATCTCTTTTGATTCTTCCGGTATCGATTTCGTTCTCCTGCATTCCATAGTTAGGATCTTGAATGAGATGAGTAACCCAACCAAAGCAGAAATCGGAAACCCTTGGTCCTCCAATTTTCTCAACCTGCAAGAACTTTGTTGCAGTTTCATCGTTATTTATATATCGTTATTAATTACAGTGTCTGCGGTTAAATGCTCATTTATTTCAATTAAATTCCTCGAAGCGATCCAAAAGGGTTGTCCGTTCATACGCTCCACAAAGCATTTCTTTAACAGATAATCTTTATAGGCGATAGTTTTCTGAAAGCGGAAGAGTTTAATATCAAACATTATTCATATTTAATTAAGTCCACTCACTGTCACGTAATCGTAGATCCTGGATACGCCGAGCGCATTGGTAACGTGTGTTATTGTTGCATTTTGGATTTTTCGTTCCTCCAAATCCTGTGGGAAAACAAATATGTAGGAAATCAATCAATTGATAGCTATGTCGGCTCAAAAATGTTATCGCAAGACGCAACAACAACAAAAAAAGTAAATAAAATTGTATCGATGTCGTAACCGCTTGACCCGTTAATAGTTTTTACGATGATAAACACGTTAAAATGTGTTTAAATTGTATACTTTTTTTTCGGAATTTTAATTTGGAGCGAGTTTAATATGCAGTTATTACCTTGTATGTAGTTTCCTTCGTGGATCCGAATGAGTTGAGGAGGAGGAGAGTAACGGAAATTAGAATTAGATTTCGCGCCATGTGCCTCTGCGGGAAGAAGCCCGTTTGACGGACTATCAAGAAATGTCCACAATCAGATACTTCAACTGACCCCTGACACTAAATGTCCCCTACCAGAATCACAAATTTGACCTATATTATGCTATGCAGTAGATCGTATCCTTTTATTTTATTTTATACTTGCAATCTATTGAACTCCTGGCCCAAAAAGCAAATTAGATGGACTTATTAGTGTATCCCGATTTAATTCAATAAAAAACTGATATTTCTGATCAACTGGTTATATGCTAAGGTCAGTGATTCGTTGTCTTTCTTCTCTTACACATACGTACATGTTTTTGCTTTTCATCACTATTTACTTTGTATCATCTATTTATAAGATCTTAAACATGTTTGTATTAATCCATTAGGATTTATCAAATGTTTATAAAATAAAGCCAATGCCATTGATATAGCATTTCCTATATATTTTTTTAAATACAAAATATGCTTTACAAATCGACATCACTTTCAACAAATCATAATAAAACCATTTATAAATTGGTAGTTGTTAATATCCTACTTCTCAATAATATTCATATTTTCATTAAATATGTTTAAATAATTATACATTTCTTTATTATTCATAAAAGCCAGTTCTAATCCTTCATTTTCTTAATATTATGAACGATGAAAATACAAATTAAATCATTTGTTTTTTTCTATTACCTAATTATAGAAATACACATACATTTATTACAATCTATAACAAAATAACGTATTTTTAAGCAAAAAGTATTTATATTTGTAGAACTACGCAAAAATTAAAAAAAAATCGTCATGATGAATAGCTATTTTAATCCCTTTCTGACTTCAAGAAATTTAATTTATTGTTATATCCTAGTTTGTTTAATTCTAATACGATTCACATAATTACAATATGTTATAATTAAAATATATTAACTAAATTATATAATATATATTAATCGCTTATCCATACTAACAACTTTTGTAATAATACATAACGACTTGTTAATCGTAATTGATATTTTATTTAATTTCAAGTCATACGTTTTCTGTCATAGTTGAAATAATTTTAATAATGTATTGTCATTTATTCATTATCCATACAAATTTCCAAAAATAAAATGAATACAGCAATCCCTATGTAGATTCTTCGATCAGTCCGGATTCCTTATACTCCGGTTTAAAAATTTCAAAACAAACTAAATTTTAGTTCAGCAAAATAAAAATAAATTAAAAAAAATATATCATTTTTTTCAATGTATTTAGTCGATTAGCGGGTTTTAAACAATCTGGAATATTGGTGGAACCTCAACTATATGAGGTAATGAGGTCCTGTGTAGAATATTCTAACCATGGATATATGTACTAAGACTGAAACTATAATTAATATTTAGAACATCAAATATTTTATAATTGCAGTTGAGAGGCACAATTGAAAAACCTGTTTATTTTTTACTTTAATACTTATTCCTCTTATGTATAAAATAAGTTACAATATCCTTTAGAAAATTAGAACGATAATATTGGATTATATTTATTGATTATTTTAGTAAACTATATGTTTCAATTATATTGGTTAAATTGAAATACTTCAATTGAAAAAGATGTATTTATTGTATCAAAAGTAATAAGTTACACAAAAAAGTTTAAAAAATATTCATAGAACACTGAAATTGAAAAGTTAAAAAATAAATAATTAAAATAAGAATGAAAACACAAAAAAACATGAAATCTACGAATACGAAATCTACAGGAATGAAAATCAGAAAATTTTCTTTTCATTTGTTCCTAGGGAATGAATAATCTAATTAATTAGAAACAGTATTAATTAAATATGGATTAAGAAGTACACTAGTATCTAGATTATATAAGAATCTTAATAGTAATATTGCACGGATCGGCCTTAGAACGAAACAATAAAACAATAATAATGATAAAGAAATGACTAGGAAACATATTAGCCGATATACGTAAAAGTAACATTAAAGAAAAGGAGAACTAAACTAAAACAAAAGAAAATGATTAGTACGTAAACTGACTCGCCTGCTGTTATGAAAACAATAATAATAATACAATAAATTAAATAATAAAATCTAAATGTTTGTGCGCTTCAATGCCAAAGATCAAATCTAAATTGTATAGCGGAAAAGAAGCGCATCTTTCCGACTAGGAGCACTCTCGTCTAAGAAAATCCAAAACATGTTTTGGCTTCTATCAACAATTAAATTAATTAAATAAAGAGAAAAAATAACGAAACGAAAAAAAACTAAGTAAACTATCGGCCAAGAAAGAACCTTTGCCATATGTACATTAAGAAAAAGAAAGCCGCACGCAACTCATATATCTTTGTTAGCACCACAAATGATATTCGCTCAGTATTTACAAAATGGTCCCTTATCAAATTAGTCAAATTTTCTGTCTATATTAGATTCAGACTGCGATCGCCAATCCGATCGAGTATCGTTCCGATCCTTTCTGAAAGCTTCTGGAAGGTGAAAAGTCCATTGGTTGTTCTTGAATGAGTGGATTCAGGCTGAAGCGATTCGAATTGAGAATGACGGACGGATGTTCAATGGTAGAATAGAGGAGCCGCTCTGGATTTGGGGAGATCACTGTCGACCGGTAGAACATTGGCGGTCGAACTGCATGGAAATTCTCGTTGCTTTTGATCACGGAATTGACGGAAACAATGACCGGCGTTGGCGAAGACGTCGACTTGTCTGGTGTAGTCTCGCGCGATGTGTGTCTTCCGTTGATCCTCATGCACGAAGATTCCTCGTGCTTGTACAAGTATGACTTTAAGGCGAACGCCTTGCCGCATCTTCCACAAACGTGAGGCTTTGTATTGGAGTGAGTCTGCACGTGCGCTCGAAGATTCGACTTATCCGCAAACGCCTTGTTGCAGATGGAACACTTGAACGGCTTCTCACCTAAATGATAAAAAAAAAATGTTATAGTCATTCTGGCATTGGTTTTTTGGATTGTTTACACTTACCAGTGTGCGTTCTGATGTGGCCTTGGAGAAGCCATGGTCTGGAAAAACATTTGCCGCAGTACTGACATTTGCATCCTTGATTGTGCGTTCGAACGTGCATCGAGTAAGCTGGCATGCTTACATATAGTTTATCACAATGTGGACATCTTCGGGCCTTCTTGTCCGCTGGACTTCTGTGCGTTTGCCGATGTCTAGCTAAGTTACTGGAAGTGCTGTATCGTTTTCCACATTCCGTGCACTCATGCTCGTGATTTTCGTTTTGGGTGCTCGCATCTACTGTCGTCAAATTTTGGACCTTCTGCGGACTGTTGTCATTACTCGTGGTCAGCACGTTCTCCTTCTAAAGATGATCAGATTAAAATTAGTATTGAAGCTTTTATGTATGTAACAACTAATTTATTACCTTCGTAAGGTGAGGCCTTCTCGAGGATTTGTCGAAGAGTTTGTGCGTATAAGTATGAGTTGGTTCATCCATTTTGGTGGAAAGGTGTCTATGGTGCAGGATTTTCCCAGCAGCGGCAGCCAAACTGACCTCGGCCAGTTTGGTGAGGTTGTACAGTTCATCCGGACATTCCGAACTATTCTCGGACTCGGAATTCGCGGCCTCCGCAACACTCACGACCCTCTCCGGACTAGCCTCTGTAACAGAGCAAGAAAAGAATTTAAAAAAAAAAACATAAAAATAGAATAATATAAGAAGTATCATAAACTGTTAAAAATATGATGGGGTACTGGATGGATATATAATATATGTAAGTATGAGCGGTGTTCGTGCGTCAGCGCGCTCGAGTTCTCCGTCGCGGATTTCCTGAAACTTGTTGCTTTGGACGCAGTCGAAACCCAAAAATAAAAAGATCATAAGGTGTGATCGGCAGACGGCCAATTTGCAACAAGTAGCAGATTTTCATAAATAGAAAAGAATGGTTCGACCGATGGATGTGAAAGGGGGGTCGTGGGCGGGGGGCGTTGCAAATCAATCGACGAATTGCAAAGATGCGGAGGCGTTTGCCAAACCGCCGCACCGGCCTATTTTTAACTCGACCCGACCCCATTCAGCTTTTTCGGTGCAAAACGGCCCACTTCTCTACAGGTGTTTTCCATCAATCGGCAAATCGTAAAAGAAGAAAGAACACGTACAGCATCCTTCCATTATTTTAAACAATCAACAAAAAATTAAACGTTTCGCTCGACGAAACCATTCAACATCCACACACACTCTACCAGCTCAAGAACACGATTTATATTTTGTTTAGACATAGCTTCCTGAATAGTACAACTATTATCTTTTTTTTAAATTTTAATTTACGCATTCACATTCCTTTGCAGCGATGATATAAATAAATTCGTTCTTCGTATATCCATACCTAAGGTCATTAGCTCTAAGATGGTTTCATTTAAAATTGTATACTTAGACCAATTTTGTTTAGATTTAGCTTCCTGAGTAGTACAACTATTTATTTTAAATGTGGTTTAACTCATGGCATTCGATTGCACCGATGATATAATTAATAGGTTATTCAATCTACAATGTTAAAAACAATGCGAATCTTAAAATGACTTTCATAAAAACAATTATAAAAGAAATTTATTAAAGTGTATGAATAATACTTTGGCAATGACTCTCGAAATTTTAAGAAGTATAAACAGCGCTACATTTATTCCATTTCATCGTTTATATTCTCATCGAATGCATCGTATTCCAATAAGAAAATATACGAGATGATGAAATGTTGACATGCATGTTTTAGTTGTATGTAAACGTAAACGGAAATGTTTAAAGCGCTTTTCATTTGAATACTTGAAAAAGTTTTGTATAAACGAAAAGTATGTAAAAGCGCATCGTGTGGTTTACCTTTGCGTTCCATTTCCTCGTCGTTGTAGCGTCGATGATTGATGAGGAAGGCTCGAGGCATATTTTCAGATCACTGAGGACAAGTCAAGATACGAACGAAATGAGGTGGAGAGGAAATGCATTCACAGAGACCGCGAGGATTTAAGACGCGATTTAATCCCGATTTCGCGAACCAGTAAGAAATAATCTTTTCAAAATTTTGCAAATAGATGGGAAAACAGGTGGATTATGGGCGACGTCAGTTGCGATTGTTGTTTGTTGACAGGGCCCGTTTCGTTTTCAGCGGCCTCTCCGATTTTCAGGATCACAGACACATTGAAACGAAGTCCTTCGTTCCTTCTTTGAGCTTTAATATATATATATATAGGTGTGTGTATATATATATGCGTTGGATGAGGAATCTTTTTGGAAACAGGAGTTGCGTCTTCGTGTGGTGCTTCTGTTTCACTGAGTCTGACAAACGTGTTAGCTGTTCTATATTTACAAAATCTGGGCGCGTGCCAAGAAAAAGAGTGGGGGCCCTCCCTATGCCCATAAGATCGCCCCATTGGCCCTCCCGCACGTACACTCGCACACCAAGTCACTCAATCCCGATCAACAAAAAGTGCAATATCCGAAAATAGACTTGATGCTTCTAATGAACAGAATTTTAATTTTTGTTTCTTTTCTTTTTCTTTCTACATAGGTTACACATATTATATTCGATAGAGACACCTGTGCAAATTTTGGACACTGAATTGGAGATAAGAAGTGTGAAATCATGGCTGAGGCTTGAATGAATGCCTGCGTCGTTACTCAGGCCATCTAAATTCGTACACAGGAGAGGAATGCGTCGAGACGCTGTCGGCGTCTGAAACTGTTTTTGGCTTTCGGCCACCAACCACCTCTTGCACTGCACTCTACCTATCCTAACTGCTATCCAGAACAGGTTGATCAGTCGTCGTCCTATAGGATACACAAATATAAAAATCGATCCAAACTCTACTTATTTACTCTTAAAAACATAAAATACTATACCATACTGGAACCAGGCAAATCCTTCAACAACTTCCTAGTATACTCTAAAGAGCCGTAGAACAAATACCTCAAGAACTTCTCCCATGCTTGACCGATATCATTGCTGTACCTAGGTCCAAGCTCCTGAGACAGCATATTAGAAAAAGCTCCGATGAACTCCTCATACGTCTTCTTCGTGATTTTCTTTTCAAGGTGAATAGACGCGTGCTCGATGATATACTTTTGGAAATCTTCTTGGCTTTTTATACAATCCACGCCTCTACCGATAGCTCGCATCACCTTGATGCAATGGTTCACCAAATACTGATCCGTTTTTACATGATCCTTTTGATCCACAATGTCCTTGAAATACTTAGTATTTTCGGGAAATTCGCCGAAAAAGGTAAGAAACAATGTTATACCGCACGTGTGCAAGTTTCGCTTTAGATACGTCCAACTCGTAATGATCATTTGAGATTCTTCCACATTCATATACTCGACAATTGAATTTTGTGCGCCCATTTAACAGGAATTTTGAAAACATTGATACAAACTATAATTTTCTTTAACCTCCTTGACCCTCCCTCACTTGCCCTGCCATTTGGCCAGAATTGGGCAAATTCTTGATTTTCTCAAAACATCGCAATAAAATGTCATTACTGTATGAAATTCATTGACTCGAATGATACAATTTGACATATAAAAATAATAAATGAAACCAATATTTTTTAATTAAAACATATATAACAAAAAAAGAAAAAAGATATTATAGTAGTAAATAAAGAAATTATTAATTGCATATATTTAATATTAATCTTAACTTTCAAAATTTCAATATTAAACAATTCCTTTCAGTTAAAAAAATATATAAATATAACAATTTATTTTATTTTTTATACTTTGTAATAGTAATAACCAAGTAGCAGAAGTTCTTATTTAAAATGGAGCCAGTTTTTGTATTAATCAGTGTAGACTATGTATTTTACGCCCTGTTACTACAATAGCCTTTTATGATATCTTGTGTGAAAATAGAAAAAAGCTATGTACTTCTGATACAAATAAATCTGAAAATGTAATGTGTATGAAAACATAAAGAAAATGATGTTGCCAGCCAAAAGCGAACGACCTCGAACTTTATGCCATATGTCTAAATTTAATCTGGTAATCTCAATGCACTGGAAACATTTTTTGCGTTCAACTTGAATTCTTGATCCTCAATTGATTTTCAGTTAACCAATTAAATATAAAGAATAATATATTTATACGAATGAAAAAAAAAGTTATGAAAATAAGCCATAAGTGTTAACAGTTTAGAAACGTCTACTTTGATGGATGGCTAAAAACATAACGAAGGGTTGGATCATTTATAAGTGTTTTCATAATAGCTGCAATATGTTTCCCATTATGGAATTTGATAAAGTGGTTATAAATTGTAGCTATTACACGGTTTAATTAAATTAAAGCTCAGAGCTCGTTTAGTGCACAAATTAGGATTTCGGGGTTCTAGCCAGGTGTAAGTCTGTAGGTCGGAAGTGAGGAGGGCGCGAACCCGGAGATATTTAACAGACACCATTAAACAAATATGTAGACGTGAATCCGGCTAGACCTTCCCCTTTTTTTCTCTCTCGACCATAAGACGAAAATATAGAATAATTGGAGGGTCGTAAGTAAGCGTGTTGTTCACGGGGTTGAGGTCGGAAGTCACCAGACGCGCGACCAGACATGTGCTCGGGGCATCCCCCTAATCACTGATATTCCCATATGGGGATTCCCCTTCCGTAAACACGACGAAACATGGCGAAACATATATTTGAACTTAACTTAAGTAAACCAACTGTTAAATATTTTGTCACATATTAGTCACTTTGAAATATTTTAACTGCAATATTACTGAAAAGACGATTAGCTTATAATTTTATTAATTTTTACTGTCTACTACTGTATCGCGGAAAAAAAATATGATAAATATTTACATAACCTTTTATCATTAAACATTTTGAAATGACATTTTTTGAAAATAATTTCAAGTTATTGGCGATGGCGATTTTAATGCATAAACCATATGATTGTCAGCATTATCCTATTATGATTATGTCTTGTTAAAAAAATCATTTTTTAGTACTTAACGCTGGGTACTACTATAACCTAATTATTTCATAATGTGAGTTTATAAAATCCTAACGTCAGAATTTTTCAGATGAACTATATTTAACTTTACTTGATTTATATAAGTAACAAACATTGCAATGAAGAGGGTTAACAGATTTTCCATCCTGCAGAGCAACAAGAAAATAACGCCAGCTGAAGTAAAAATATTTAAGAATACATGGATAGTGTTGAGAAGGAATCTGGGATATTACGGGGTGGAATGGCTCCAATTATTCTTCGAAGTAAACGAAAACCACCTGAAGTATTTCAAATTTGATGTGAATTCCGTCAGCGAGTTGAAGTCGAAGCCGGCTCTAACTTTACATGGTCTTCAGATAATGAGGCAGTTCAGCGCAATAGCGGACTGCATTGATAAGCCGGAAATGCTATTCCAGATCCTGAACCTGCACGTTCACTATCACGCCAAGAGGGACATCAGGCCGCAAGTATACGAAGACATGAAGAACAGCCTGATGACGATGCTGTCGACAACCTTGAAGTTTCCCGGTGACGTGCTACAGATCTGGCACAAAATCGTAACGTTGCTCTTTGACACCATTGTAGACATGAACGACAATTTGATAGATTGATCGACGGTGGATACCCCCTTCCCATCCACAATAATGCATTCCGGATGTCGCATTTTAAAATATACAAAGAGTTTTTTAAACACTCGGCTCGAAACTGTGTCACGAAAATAAATATGGTATTTCATAAATATTTAATGTTTTAAATAGGAAGTAATAAATAAATTTGATGAAAAAGAAAGACACGATAACAACCTTTCGTTGTATACTTACCTATTATTACACAAAACAGAATAACTCAACAAGTGCTCACTCATATAACGCCTTGATATATAACAAGTGAAGAAAAGTTAACTTTATATGAATTTTCTATTTGTCCAATGTTTACAAATACTTAAACTACCATTCATTTCATGTACTTAATTCAAAATCATATATTTTTATATTAAATGTGTACTTACTTGCATATTACGGTTTATTGAGTATACATTAATTTATAAAGATTAGGTTAAAAATATACATTGATGAAACTTTATACAAGTTAAATAGACGTATTTTTCATAGTTGGAAAGTAAACATAAACTTGAATCAACTACTATATTCGATGTAGACATTAATGTAATTAAAATAAGAAACTTAAAAAAAAAGATATAATACATTTGACAAAACTTCAAGCAAATTTAACATATGAATTTCTTCATGGAAAATAAGATGATTCACCTTATGTAATTGTCCGAAAATGAAATATCGTGCAATTCTCAAAATATTGTTTGTTTGAATTTTTTTTGTCCAGTGTTTAAAAATACTTAAACTACCATTCATTTCATGTACTTAATTCAAAATCATATATTTTTATATTAAAAGTGTACTTACTTGCATATTACGGTTTATTGAGTATGAATTAATTTATAAAGATTTGGTTAAAAATATACATTGATGAAACTTCATACAAGTTAAATAGACGTATTTTTCATAGTTGGAAATTAAACATAAACTTGAATCAACTACTATATTTTATGTAGACATTAATGTAATTAAAATAAGAAACATTAAAAAAAAGATATAATACATTTGGCAAAACTTCAAGCAAATTTAACACATGAATTTCTTCATGGAAAATAAGATGATTCACCTTATGTAATTGTCCGAAAATCAAATATCGTGCAATTCTCAAAATATTGTTTGTTTTTGTTGTTTTTTTTTGATAAATTATTTTCGTGTTTGTTCTTAAGCGACGAATGCAAGAGCAGGAATAAAGCAATATAATAAGTATTATGCGCAGCGGATGTGGAGGTGGTGGACAAAAATAGACCGGACTATTAATAAATTGTGAACCCCCTTTACATTCGAAATTACCTTTACACGGCAAGAAAACGGAATTAGAAGCAACCGCAATCCCATTTTTTCATCTCATCCGAAAACTGTAGGCAGTAGGCAAAATCCAACAAAAAAATATTCCCAAATAAACTGTTATTTTTAGACGCGAAATTTACATAAACAACGCAAAAATATATATATTTGTGGAAGGTTTCAGGAAACTTGTTGATTCATAGAAAATTTCGCACACATAAGAAACTTTTAGTAAATGGCGCAGCGTTAATGAATGAAATTTGCTTTTTCAATATTTCTTTGCAACCGATTTCCATTTCAAGCTGAACAACAAACAAGGCGACTTCCTGAAAGGCTGCGGATGTTTCTTAAAGGGAAAGCTTAAGTTCCGACACGTGGCTGTCTTTGGTTCTTAACACGTGCTATCCAAACACACCGCGCCCCTTTTTTCCACGTTCTTCAACAAACAATCCCCCTTCACCGAAAACACCTGAAGAAATTTTCACCCGAAATCGAATCGGAATCCTCTTCGCAAGTTCCAGTTGAGGTTCCTTTTTTGTTTTTGCTCATTCTTAAAGACTTATTTATAGACGTATGCATTTTATGGGCCAGAAGTGTTTTTAAAATGTGTCGAAATCGGAGTGTGAACGGTCATTAAGGATATGATTAGCCTTTCAAAAGCTGTTTCCTCTAAATTGATGGCACTGCCATTCCCATTATGACATTTTTATCTATAAATATAACAAAATATAATATCCAGTTAGTGCTATTAACTAAGAAAAAAAAGTAATCTCTTAAAATCCATTTTCTAAACTAAGGTTAGAAATCTGCCTTAATGAGTACGCGATATTTGTCAAGTTACAAATCGAATATCGTATCTAGTCTGCTTTAATCAAGTTCGTATATAAAGAAATTACAATGCAATTCACAATTTCTGTAAAATTTACAGCTATATTATATTGTACAAATGCAACATAAAGACAAAATTATTAATTTGAACTGAAGACATTTGACGGTTCATTAGTAGTTGCATATTTAAGAGGAACCATCTCCCTTGATTTCTCAATAACCTTAAAGTTCTTTAATAATAGACTCATGGAATTTTGAATTATTGAAATTTAACTATGATTGGCAATTATTGACATTTTTTGATAGACAAATTAAATGTAATTGTTGTATTTAATGATAAAATTCTAAATGCAAGTGTTTTTTAGGAAATAATAATATGTAATAATTATATAATCACATACACAAGTATATACAAATTCATCAATCATTGCAAAATATCGTAAAATTTGAAATTAAGTCATTATTGTTAATTATACCAATATTAATTAGAAGCTTTGTGAATGTGTCATGAAATTTTCTTGTATGATTCAGGATTCTCGAGGAATTTATAGATCATTTCTCGATACCTACGTTAGAATGCGGCGTACGTAAAGCGCAGCTCCTGTAAAAAAATAATAATAATGTGTGTGTGCAAGAGAAACGGGTTTGTTATGTATATAAATCAAATTTTAGAGCCAGATTTGCGCATGTGGCTTTTAAAAATGCCGTAATAATAAAAACGGAAGTGGTTGGAAAACAAACTGCG